GATCTTGCTACGTTTTTTGGTACGGATGGGCTTGCAGAACTTCGAGCCCACCGTAAGGACAGCTTCAACAAACCTGTCATTATAATTGTCCACGTCTACGCAGCTCTCTAGGCAATCGAAGCGATTTTGCAGTTCGAGTTGAAAGCGCTCGGGGTTTTGGATCTGGATGGCTTCAGGACGGAGCGTGGACTTCATCAGTCGATTCCTTTCGGCTTTGACATTTAGATTCAATGTGCCTCTTACCATTCGGTGATCGCTTCCCGTATTGAACGAATTGATCACTGAGACATCATTGAATATCCGAGTCTTAGTCGACATGATGAAGTCAATCTCATTTTTTGTCACGCCATCCGGACTTTTCCAGGTCCATTTTCGATGCAGCCGTTTTCTGAAGAAGGAGTTCATCATAAAGAGTCCCTCCTTCTCCATGTAATCGGCTAGCATTTGACCTCGGAAGTTCCGGATTCCAACTCCAAATTGCCCCACTTTCAACTCATCATCGCCACGTTTGCCCAGCCTTGCGTTGAAGTCCCCCATGACAACGGTGTAATGGGTCCTGGAAGCATGCATTGCCCGAGAAATATCCTCATACATGACTTCCACTTCCTCGTCGGGGTGCGTCGAGGTCGGAGCGTATACCTGTATGACCTTCAACGAATACCGTTTGGTGATTCTGAGTATAAGGTACGCCACCCTATTCGACACAACAAAACTAGTTTAAACGTCAATAAATAAATAAAGTTTCGTGCGTTATCCCGTTTAAACTAGTTTTACTAAAACATTTTGTTTTTAATTAAATTTCAATTAACGGTATATCGCTTATTCTGTAGAAAAATATTTTATCAATTATATTAACTAAGCAAGCTCTATTTATTAATAACAAGATTTTGCGTCACATCAGAGTGCCGCCATTATACCTATTAATTATTCCCTTGATATCAATTCTCTCTCCGCTAAAACGTAATGTGATTTCACTGCGTTCTGTAATCTGTAAGGTGGAAGTTGCATCCCCAGACGGGAGCTCCAATAACGAGCGGTAAAATACATTTTATAGATAATAAGAATTTGTCTATCAATTATTGAAATATTTTTTAAATGACCAAGTAAACAAAATCTTGCCTTATATTATTTCCTTTCGGTTGATAGATTACAAAAATCAATTGATGATTAATTAGTCAAGAGAGCGAAAAAATGTTTTAAAACATAAGGTTTCCCTTAACTGTGTATCAATCGTTGCCGTTTGTATTTAATGATTTCTCTCTGCTCTACAAATCAAGTCTTAAAGAATCAAGTAAACGACGAATATTGTTCCGATAGCGGACCGAATGCAGCCGACGCGAAGTGCGGCAGGCGGGCGCGGGTCGAGGGGGCCGCCGGTTTTTGATCTTTTAACGAAAGGCTTGAGCTAGGCGCGGTAAAATATTATAAGTAGGTACTTTTTGCAGTCAAATGAACGATGTGACGCGATGCAATGCTACGGAACATAGATGCTGCCGCTGCGAGTTTTTATTTATTTATTTATTCAAACACATTACAATATTATTACAGGTTTTACCTAATTCAATAGTATAGTCATCCATCCTATCAAATAAAAAATACAAATACGATACCAGTTACTATCACTTATTATATAAATGTTTATAACATTATTTAAATTATTAATATTATTGACTTATAAAACACTAGTTAGCTACAAAATAAGATGCTCTCACTGATACATCATCATCATAAACATTGTTTTATTGTTGTCAGTGTTTTTTAGTAGGTATCATTGTAGGATACTTCGCGTTTTTGTAAAAAAAAACAGATTGCTGAAAACAATTAAAGAATTCATTTGTATTCTTAATAATATAGGTGTTTATTAGAAAGTAATATATTGAGTCTGAAGTTATTATCAATCTGTATAAATAAATTTTGGTAGCTAAATTAATAAATGTATTTTTTTCTGTAGATACTTGTATTTAATTATGCTTTAAAAACCTTCTTTAAAATTATCAAAAAGGGAACCCGTTCTCTCTAAATAATATGTGAAGATTCGAGATTACGACATACATATTTACTTCTTACTTTTATATTTACTTAAACAATAACCCACTAGCGTAGAAGGTGGAAAAGAAAAGTGAATTTATATCATTATGTTCTTTTTCAGAGGGAGACTGTAAGACGATGGGTTCAGCGTGATGCTGAGGAAGGGACTATTGAAGACCATCCCCGAGCTCCCCCGGTTAGCATAATAACACCAGACCGTATAAATCATATGGTAAATGTTTATCAAGAGGCACCATTTACAAAAACCTCGACTTTTGCCCTCGAATATGACTGCAATGTTAAAACTATTAGAAATGCGTTGCATAAAGCAGGTATTCACCACAGAAGACCAGCAAAAAAAATTATTTTAACTACCGCGCAAAAGGAGGCCCGCGTCAGGTTCGCTCGCGATTATCGCGATTTCGATTTTTCAAACGCCATATTTTCTGACGAAAAATGTTTTAAGTCGAGCCAGCACGGTCGTCAGAATTTATGGCGTATAAACCACACGCGATATGAACCGAGGAATGTGAGGCCCAACAACGAATCCGGCAGAATAGTGGTAAACATGTGGGGATGGATGAGTGCTGACGGACCCGGTGAGCTAGCCCACATTGACGGGAGGGCTACAGGACAAACCTATAGGGAATTGCTGGAGGAGGTTATACTGCCTTCAGTGCGCACGGTGTATCCGGTAGACGAAGTTCCGTCGTTTGCCTTTTTTCAGGACAATTGCTCTATACACCGTGCGCGGGTGGTCCAGAATTGGCTTGGTCAGCAATCCGAGGTGAGGAGTATTCCTTGGCCTTCTCGGTCTCCTGATTTAAACCCAATTGAACATTTGTGGGCTCTCATGGTTCAAAGATGGGATTGTAGAAATGAACGCACAAAAAATGATCTCACCGCCCACTGTAATGAAGTTTGGGACTCCATCCGAGGTTCAGATCTGTGCCAAAAATTAGTCGATTCAATGAGAAGTAGATGTGATGCTGTAATCGATGCTGGCGGTGCCTCTACAAAATATTAATTTTTTGGGTTGGTGTTCTAACGCGGTCTTTGTTATATTATAGTCATATGAGAGGCATTTCAACTTGTTCATTGAAAAAATTAGAAAAATGTAAAGAAAAATTTATAATCATTCCATTTTCCATTCCACTTTTATAAATATTGTAAATTAATTTGCTGTTGCCCCAAGTTTAATTTTTAACTGCAAAAAAGCATTTAAAATTACCAATGCATGTAAAAAACAAAATCAATCAAATCTAATCTCGGTCGAAAATATCCCACGGGTTTAGTTAACCTACTGTGTATTTGAATTAGAATCAAACCACTGGTGTTCTTCATTGTTTTGTTTTCCTGTAATATTTTTGAAATATTTATCTGTTAATCGAACAAATGTGATACTGTAGAACACCCCAACATTGCCTGCTTTTTTTCAAATAATCGTTACTATTTTTGGATGTTTCTATGGCAACCTGAGTATTTTTGAAGTGATAACTTCTTAACGGAGGGTAAACCGCTTCTTTACGTAACGCGTAACGGCGCCAGTTTGTCTGGCTTCCTTCTTTTCGCGCGTCAGAAATATAACAGAATCAGAGTCAGAAATATAACCTACTTTTCCCCAAAGTCAATAGATTTTGCCATAATATTAAGATATTTTTGCGCATCAAACATTTCTTTATAAATTGCTTAAATGGCAATGATACCCCCGAAGGCACTGTTGGCGTATTTCACGGTAAAATTAAATAAGACAATGGTGTAATTAATAAATACAAATGCGAGTTAAGACAATGATTTTTTAGCTTTAATATTTTTTAAACGATAACTTTAGAAATAATACGTTATATATAATTCGCTATAATAATAAATATATTATAAAATAATTCGCTTGTGTTACTTCACCCAGGTAAAATGTATGTCATAAAAAAATATAAAATTTATCTAGGTATTTCCTGTTCACTATTTTATGGAATTTTATTGACTCGCTGTAAAAAAATGTTAGTAATTGTTTTCTTTAAATAGAGATTGTTCTTTTTTAAAATGTATAAGATTTACTTATTAATTTACGTCTACAGATTGTTACAAATTACGCTTCATAATTGTGCCGAGTTACAGTCACCCACAAATATAGGCAAATTATAGATTTTTATACAATAACTACATATTAGATACCGTACAAAAAATACTGTTGTTGATAGTAGATGATCTTTATAGCGTCACCCGGCTTGCCGGCTTAGGATGACACAGTTCTAAAATTATAATCAAAGTTCAACACATTGGTGTTGCGCAACAAACATAATTGCGATAGAGAAATGCACAAAAACGAAATCATTATGCGAACCTACAAACTACGTAATATGACTGTGTAAAAATAAGACAGCCAACATTACTTTTCTACTGCGCCGTGCACCACGCATGACGGCAACAGGACAGTGCGCAAAAGCGAGATAGCAAATCAGTATCGGCGGCGTACTACACGTGATCGCGACAGCGCTATACGAAAAAGTAAGACAGCGATAATTACATGTCTATGAATGAATTTTTACTACGCCGCTACCGCAAGCGATTATGGCATTATGGGTGACAGAGCGGGTCTTTCCGCGAGTGTACCAGGACACGTGTAAGGGGTGCGGCTAGTGTAGGCAACGGTGAAAGTGATACTTTGATACTGGGTGCTGGTTTGAATGTACTCGTAGGTAATTGTTAAGCACATAAATTTGTTTTAGACACTCATTTAGTATCATGTTAGCCATCTATCACCCATTGATGGTCGTCCTCCAAAGATCTGCACAATTAGTGGTCCTATCAAACCCAAAACACAAGTAGTAAAAAGTAACTCAGATCTATGAATTTTGTTCATAAATTATTACTTTCGTTGTCATAGTGCTTTTATTTTCATAGTATGGGTAGGTTTTTGGATGCTATGCGTATGTGACTTGTACGAAATAAAAGACTTTATTTATTTCAATGTCATATAATTCATGTGTAAACAAACCAAAACACCCAAAGCAACACGTGCATCAAGTATCTTATTAAGTTATAATACAAATAAAATTACAACATTATGAATACGATACTGATTTTTACAAATATTTACATTTTAGTTTACATCGGTCTCTTATGCAGTTATTGATGATTTCTTACCATTGTCTATTATCATAAAACAGTTTTAACTCAACCAAACATAGATAATTATTAGGTGTTCAATATTCTGTAATTTATCAATATTAAAACATCTTTCACAGATTATTTGGCTTCCACAACTAATTTAGTTGCACAAAAACAATTCAGCTTTTTTGAGTTATTGATAATATTATCTACAAATGAAATGTACAACATTGTCACACAGTTATTTAAATTCTATTGATATTATAGAAGTAAAAAAAATATCAACAAAATTTTAATACATCGAACATTAATTATTCCAAATACCTAGGTCGCTGTTTTGTGTTCACCAATTTTTCGCAATAACTGCTATTTAGGCTGTTAAGAAAATACTGGCACGATTTCATAGCTCGTTCTTGTACAATATTTTATTATCAGCTCTGAGATTACTTTTTCTTTGTGTGTCCAATTCAAAAATATATAGCAACACTTTTGCTTTTTAAAGTAAGCGTCATTGCAGGTACGATATCGTTAGTGAGCTCGATATAGATTCTGTGGTGTAAATAACAGTAAAATGCTGCTCAGTTCTACAAGGGATTACAATATTCGCCATCTTACAACATTTATGGCGTCAATTTTCATCCATTAGTCAATTTTCATCCATGAAATCGGAAAAATATATCAGACATGAATTCTAAAAAACGGATGGCGAAGAAAAAGTCAACAGTCACATAAGAGCGTTTTTTTTTGAGTTGATAACGTCGTAACCTGGACTGCCAGTAAAACCTACTGTATAATGAATGCCTATCACAAATCAAAATGTCCATATTTTGTCAAAGAAATCAATTTTTATCTTTGTTGACGTTAAGTTTTAAACGGGAAAGACTAGAACTGCTTTTTTTTTATTCAGTAATAGGTAAGCGCTTGACCATAATTCGCCTGATGGAAAGCAATATTATGGTCTACGATGGAGCGTGCTTATCACTTTTAGTTGGACATAATACACTGACAAAGCAACAGTTTTTCAATATCAACATATTTTTTATTTACAACAACTTTTGTAAGTACGTTCACTCTTCATGTTATTTAATTTGTATTTCTTTTTTTCTTTACATAATCTCACTACCAGGCAGGGCCCAGCCATTTTAAACCAATCACATCACTTTCACCACTTAATTACTCATTCACACTTATTTATGTAAACGTTTCTGTGAACCATTTTTTGAATTTGATCTAAGATTTTGCTTATTAATGAAAAGCTTTATTATCACCTACGCTATAACAAAACCTTTTGTTAATATTCCATATTTATACACCTGTGCCTATTGTAAGTTATATTGTACAGCTTATTCCTTTACACTATTATTATGAGTCTTAAGATCTAATAAGTCTTTATCAAATGGTCAGATACGAACGGCGTAAAAGATTCAGGGTCCTTGATCTTCTTTTTCTTGTGCAGCGGGCAGCTTTTCTGCTTGTGTCCAGTTTCAGACTTGTTGTGTGTTGGTTTATACTGAGTAGATATTGAGACGTTCTTTTTTAAACTATTATTAGTTTTTTGGCAATTATCCTTATCTTTAACATTATTGTCTAATATTTTATCTATATGCCGGAATGGTGGCCCATTTTCCGCGTAGCCTTGACCGTCAGTGTTATGCATATTCTGTTTCGCATTTTCTACGTATGACCTTTGTGATATTTCTAATTGGCTATGATGGAGACAAGTCGATGTTACCTGAAAAAGAAATACCGTTTAGAGGAAGAACTGTAAAAGATTGATTGCAACCAAACCAGTGGAATTTACTAGTTCACTAATACATTATGTGTTATGGATGACGCTGAATTTACCACCCAATATAAACCAGTATATTTTAAATTAGCCATTTAATTTCTAGAACAGTTTTCGCAGACGAGGTTTTGTTTTGACAACTGTACCCTTACGGATTTCTGTACAATAGGGATGATGACGGGGTACTAGTCCAGTCAATGAAGGCTTAACTTTGCCATTTTGAGTTGATCACCTGCAACTAACGCGAAAATTTCCGCAAGGGTTCGTAGATTAATACACAAAAATTGCAGGGTGCTGCATTGACGGCAAAGGGTGAAAAAAAAATGCGAAATGGTGCAAAAACGAGTTTTTCGTCAATATCTCGGGACTGGCTGGAAAAATAGAAAAAGTTCCTAGTACTAAGTTGTAGAAAATTTAATTTCCTACAAAAAAGGTATCAACAGATTTTTGCGTATCTCCCATAGTTTTTGCACAAAATGCAATTAAAGGTGCAAAATAAAAAAAGAAAATATATTGTTAATGGTTTTTTTCCATTTTTAAACGATCCTACGGGTCAAATTCAACAATCACCACTTACTGAAATATTTAAGCATGAGTTTTCGGCAGTCCACTGAAATGAAATCTGACTACCGAAATGGTAAAAAATGACCACCGAAATGATACAGCCAAGAACATCGCCTTTGTAGTAGAAGGGTTCCCTATTTTGAATTTAAATAAATTTCCTTGTTCTTTGTAAATATTTTTGTTCATTATTGTTCATATATTTGCAATATGCAATACAAATTCTTATACATTATCATATAATAAAATTGAAATCATTTTTTTTTGTCAAGATTATTATATGAAAAAGGAAATAAAAAATGCCCGAAACATATTAATTAAATTCCAATGAATCATGTAGAGGTGAACTCCCCAAGCAAAAAAAAAATACACGGCATTGCTCAGAGCGGCAGTGCAATGTGCTGATTTATGATTTTGACTTTTTTTCTTAGTTAAGTAGGCACTTTTCAACCTTGTCAAAGATAATTATTGAGTAATGGGCTCTATTCCATAAAATAAAAAAATATGGAGTGGCATTTATCATCACGGGAACCTGTCTGAAACCCAATTCCTCTCGTAAAATTACTTCCCCTGTAGTTACATTTATTTTTTCGATTAAAATTAACTTTTATATCATTAATATATAATATAGCCTATTAACAAAACCTACTACTGTTTGTTTACCTTCTTCCTTATACATGTAACAAGCACTCAACTTTTGTCCTGGAAAAAGTTATCATTTCCATGGACAGTAAGTTTTTGTGAAATAGGTTCGTCAACATTGCGTTGTTGTATCCCGTTTGTCAGTGCTCACTTCGAGCCAGTCCGCCTTCGCTGGAGCACACGCACGCGCAACAACGTCATTGTGGATTCCCGCCAAATAGTAAGTATATCATTTCAGTGATATGGGGACAATTGATTCGGTGGACAGTAATGCCGATAAGAGTCCAGGGAATGAAAGTATCGCCGAAATGATACATCCATAAGTTTTTAGAGATCCTTGAGTCAATATAGGTATATTAAATAGTTTCGGTTTATGATGTACATTTATCTAGATACTGTAGGTTCGGTATTTCTGGTGCAGTAGTATTTCTATCTAAAATATCTAGTTTAAAAATGTATATTAAAGTTAAAGCGCACGAATTCGTTGGCGGCCGATAGTATTCCTAATTAAATAAGTGTAAAAAAATCAGTATTATTCATCTGCACTTGACTCGCTTTCACATGATGAGTCATCAGAATGGTTTCTGAAGGAAAACGATCAGATTGGCTTGTTTCTGTAGCCAAAGATCTGTATAATCCATGGTACTCTTCAGGTATGACACCTTTGTTGCACAAATCATCAAGATCTTTTTTCTTTGCTATAGATATTTTTTTTATAAAAAGGTACGACAAATGACTCCACCAGAGATTAGGTGATGGAGGAGTCTAGACGCGAAGATAGCTGGTACAGCAGTATTACTTGCCACACCAGCTATCCTCATTTTGCCGGCCTGCAGAATTGCTACTTGACACACGTAAGAGGGCAAAGTAATCCATTTGCGGATAGTCTGACAAAGACATGAGTTACCAAATTTCTTTGTTCACGTTGGAATAGTGGGAATAGTAGTTCACAGTTAGTCTGTTACAACGTAGGCCAGCGCGTGTAGATTTCTGTAGTCTAATATTAGCCTATCGTTGGTTATTTAAGGAAACATAGTTTATAGTTTGAAGTCCGTTTATTGAGTGCAATAAAACATTACAAAATAATTGAATTAATAATATTGCTTACTTGCTAAAACTATCTACGTAAATAGCGGATTGCGACATGACCTAATTACGTTTCCGATAGGTATACACTACAACTCCCTGGAAAAAGTCCTGTTCACCCTTCCCTTTTAAAGGAAAAAAAATAAAATTAGACAGAATAATTAAGTCATGTGGCATAATGTATGTTAAGTATATGATAAGGCTAATTCCATAGTACTTAAAATTATAGTAACATAAGTTTAGTTATAAAATTAATCTAGTTATAATTATTATTTTTAAGTGTAATACAATTTCGTATTATTCTTATGTATAAGATATTCCTTATTATCCTTCAAGATTTTTACATTGGGTGACACTTCTTCAATAACTACAAATGGACCATTATTTATAAATGTTTTGGAGTTTATCTCCTGTTTGATTTTTCACTAAAATAAGGTCACCTTTTTTATATGTAATAGGATAAGTACATTGGTCATACAATAATTTTCTTTTCAACTTACTAGAAAATAAATTATTTTTTGCATCGTACTGTGCTCTCTGTAATCGATACTTCATCTCTTTAGGGTAATCATTATAATTATACAATGGTTCTACTGACATTCCAAAGTCTGAAGGCAGTTTACAAAGTTTTCCAAACACTAATTCGAATGGAGTGTATTTTGTTAGTGTATGTACCGTAGTATTATAAGAAAATGTCCAAAATGCTAACCAGTCGCTCCAGTCTAAAGTGTTCCTATCACACTGTATTCGCAGATATGCTCCTAATGACTTATGACTATTTTCTAGAGAACCTATTGTTTCGTGGTGATAAGCCGTTGAATTTAATTTTTCTATATGTAATATTTTGCAAATATCAGTCATAATATTAGACATAAATTCTGTGCCTCTATCACTAATGATTTCCTTAGGGATTCCATATCTTAAAATAAAATTGGTTACAAAAACTCGTGCTACAGGTTCGGAATCTTTACTGGGCAAAGGATACGCTTCTACAAATTTAGATAAATCGCATTGCAGCGTTAAAATGTATTTGTTATTATTAATATCAACTGGCAATGGACCCATGATATCTAAAGCTATTCTTTCAAATGCAGAGCTTGCGGTATTAGTGATAACCATTGGCTCCTTAATACTATGATTCGAAAATTTATTAAATTGACAGTGACTACATTTTTTGACGTATTCTATGACGTCATTAGTCATTCCTGGCCAATAATAGTATTGTTTTAAATTATTCAACATTCTGTTTACCCCTGCATGACCGCTAGTGGGCAACATATGAAAGTCGTTAAGTATAATTTTCTTATCCTCGTAGCTACTTATTCTTATCACATCTCTGGTAATTAAAATTTTTGGTACCTTCTGATGCAACTTTTTCATATAACTTGCAAGTATTTTTATATTAGTTGCATTTTGCTTAGTTTTAATGATTAAAATCTCATTAATATTTTGTTTTTCACAAAAAAATCCTAAATCTCTCGCTAACACCTGTGGGGTAGATAACGATCGAGTATCTAGATATATAGTATACTGTGAAGGCACATAAATACAAAATTTCTTATCAGAGAAAAGACAATCCGTGTTCTTATTTATTTTTTCACTAGTGAAAACTAACTCTGTCACGTCCTTGGGTTTTTTAAGAATCTCTACAATCTCAGGTTGATCAGGCCTGCTACTGGTAGATAACTCTTCAGTCAAATTATTTTTATAGACCGGTTCTTTAGACTCTAGCTTTTTACTTTGTGCTCGAGTAAGTACCGATACAACTTGTTCATTAAGTGATTTTAATTCCTCACACGTCATCGTAATCGGGAGTCGACTTAATGCGTCTGCAGCTGCATTATTTCGACCCGGGATATACACGATCTCAAAATCATACTCTTCGAGGTAGAGCCTAAACTTAGTTAGTCTACTGGACGGATCTTTTAAACTAAATAAATATACGAGCGGTTTGTGATCTGTAAGGATTTTAAACCTTCTACCGTACAGATACGGTCTAAAATGCCTTACAGCCCATACTATAGCGAGCAATTCTAAATCGATTATAGGATATCTGCTTTCGGCTGGCGATAAATTACGACTTGCGTAAGCGACAACATGCCATGCGCCATTTTTGTTTGACAAAACGGCGCCTAATCCTGTTTTACATGCGTCTGTACGTAACTCAAAAATATTATTTTCCGAAAAATCTGGATACTGTAATACGGGTGGGGACATCAAAAGGGATTTTAATTGTTGAAATGATTTTTCGCATTCGGTTGTCCACTCAAATAAAACATCTTTTTTGCATAATTTATTTAACGGAAAAGCTATATTTGCAAAATTAGGTATAAATCTCCTATAATAATTAGCAAAGGCTAGGTATCGTTTTACGTCGTCCGCGTTCGAGGGAACCGGATACTTGCGCAATGTCTCTATTTTGCTATCGTCGGGAAAAATACCTTGCGACATTATTTTGTGTCCTAAATAAATAATTTCGGTTTGTAAAAATTCGCATTTCATTGGATTTAATTTTAAATTGACTTTTCGTAAACGTTCTAATACAGTTACTAGGTTTTTATTGTGATTATCTATGCAATTTCCAATAACGACGCAATCATCTAAATAAATAAAAGCTTGATTATAATTGATACCTGACATAGCAATTGTCATTAATC